TAATAATGAACATCAACATGCAAACAACTCTTCCAACATGGAAGATAAACTGATGAAATAAAGTCGTTTTTCAGGAAGTACCTCACCGGTGCAAATATTTCATTTAACCAAAAAACCCCTGAACGTGGTCAAAGTTTAGACCCCAGTAATTTATACTCCCACGTGAAGTGTTTCCCACGCAGGCTGCCGCCTCCTCCTTGTTGCACCTCCACAGGTTCAAATTATAACCTATTTGTCTCCGTGTTCACACGGCTGCCTGTCAATCAGCTCTCCCACCCCCAGCGCAAATTGGTGCAGTGTGAAAACAGCCACTCCCTGATCCCCGTGGGGTCTAATTGGCTCGGATTTAAGAAGCCATTATATCAGTGGAGCTGATCTGAAAGCTGCAGTCTGCAGGCGGCCCGCACTTTTCATCGCGCTGAGAAATCGATACAGCTGCATCCAGCTGCTGCAGCCTCAGCCTGCACTCGCCTTACACTACACAGAAGCTAACGACTCCTTCTGATATTTGTCACTGGCTGTTTGCAACGAATGATTAATTTTAAAAAGAATACTAGCTGACATATAATTCTAATCTTTAGTAATCAATACTAGAGGCAGGCCTAATTGTGTGTTTGGCTGTGACAGCGAGAAACAGTAAGGACTGAAAATTTTTAAAAAAAGAGAGCGAGAGAGAGAAATGCTTGTGTTAGATATGTATTCATGAAACAGTGTATAGTGTTACAAACAAAAGAAAAAGCAGCACAGATGCTTCCTTATTTTATGTTTTATGAGAAATAACTGAACAAGAGCTTAGCCTTTAATAGCCATCACTGGCAGTCGTATGGTTTGCAGCATTGCACATTTAGAGCATGAAAAGTGCTTAACCAGTGACATTTTAGTCAAGAGCCGTGGTCTCAAACTGCTTTAAGCTCTAGTTTGAAGCAGTAAAACCAATGCATAATAACCTACGATAAAAACACCCAAATAATTTTACTTTCTAGATTTTTTTGTGATATCATCCATTTACATTAGAGACAATGAATGGATTAAGATCTCTTTTTAAAAAAGTGCAATTTACCATCTCAGTTTTCATTACTGGAAATGCTATTATCCTAACGCCATCATAAGGCTTAATGTGGTACATCATGCTGAGAGTAAAGTCTTTGTCAGTAACAGGCTGCAAAACTGGTGAGGATTCAGACCTGTGGATCACGTTAAATTAAATCTCATCCATTCCAATGATTCTGCTGCAAAATACACACGAACGTTCAAAAAAAGGTCATTCCCTCCTTCTCCGCAGTTCTGATCAGCTCACCGATTACTGTAAAATAAGCCTGAAATTCTTCAGTCTGTTTACTGAGGTCTATGTCCATTACTGTCTCTTAAGCACCTTTGAAAATGTAAATATGATTCTCTTTTTTTAAATGCAAAATTAAGAAAATGAAATTTGTAGACACACACACGCAATTACATGTCAGTTACATCCCTGAATATTGTAGTATTAAGTCCAGAAATCAGACACCCAAAACAAACAAATAAACAAACAAACAGAAAGCTTCTGCATTTTTCCAAATTGGAATTCAGAAGCACGAGCAGCAACAAAGGCTGTTTGTATCCCAGCGAGCTGTGATGGTGGGGTGAAGGAAGGGCTGTGGGTACAGCTCAGTGCCGAGGTTCCCAGCCAACTTGGCACGCCTTTTCAACTTCGCCCCCCCCACCCCCCTCTTTCTTTCTCTTACTTGTGCAGACGAACGCAATCGTGTTAAGTCTTGAAAGGATTGCCTGATCATTAGCGATATCTTTGGGGGTAAATCATCCTCCGTTTCTCCTGAAACTCTCAGCCGCCATCGCACATCGAATTGTGTAAAATCTGCCACACGTGATGTGGAGAAAGCTTTGCATTGAGAAAATTTGAAGAGCAATAATTCTTTATTTTGATATTTATGGTCTCATTTTTAACGTAAATGGATTTTTTTTATTATTACATTTTATTTGCCTGTACAAATAGTTTCACTCCGACTAGTAGCTGATTGGCTGATGGAAAGAAACCATTAATTTTGGGGGTTAATTTCAGTACAAACGTTTTCTATTTTTAGCTTTTAAAAATGTGGAGATTTCCCAAATTTCTGAGCTTTATAATCATTTAGGAAACACATATATTTAGTTCACACTGAGTTTTCAAGACTCAACTTACATGTATATATTTTAAAGGTTAAAATATTACCTATAAATGCCAAAAATAACCAATAATTGTAAAAAATAGTAACGGAGCTGAGCAAAACTGCCACAAAAAGGACTCTTCACTCAATTTTTGTCCCTTTGTTTCACTCCTCTCCCTGCGCTTCTCTGCAGTAGTCACTTTTGGGCGTCAAGCGCCTCACACTTGAGGTTTGAGGAGGTGGTTCCTCAATTAGCGAGCCACGCGTCCCGTGGAAGAAAGAGGAACTCCATAAGCAGTCCTTAAAGCCTGGCCTCTGTTCACTCTCCCCTCACCCCATGACCTCGGGGGTCACAGGCCACAATGCGCTCCCGTCCGGAACGGTGTTATCGGCTCCACGACAAAGGGGACGGATACCGACCTCCCGCTTTCAGGTCGAGCTGTGTGAGGCTATTCAGGGCCTGAGAACTGTGGTCCTGCTCTGGCAGGGACACCACTCTCATCAGCTCTGCTCTGTGAATTCAGCTTCACCCCTCGATCACTTCAGATAGTACAGACCTGAACTGCACACACATATAGTGCACAGCAGGGAAGCTGCCTGGGGCAACTACAGACCTGTACGTGTGATCAGTGAGCAGCACTAATGAGGAACTGTTTCAAGCAGAAGTAAATCAATGGAAGTACTGGGAAAGAAAAGCAATTCCTGTTTTTCTTCACACAAAACTACTCTTTCAAAGTTACGTCAGTTGTGGCTGAAACCTCTACTTTTATCTTACTTTATTATTATCTAACTTTCTACTCTCTACTTTTAATTATTGTACTTTAACTGCAAATCTAAACTCCAAATAAATTATGATTTATTATAAATGGTTACGCTGGGATTTTACTGATTCCTTGAGGGCAAGCTATCCAATATAAATAGATAGATAGATAGTTTATTGATCCCACAGGGGAAATTATTGCGTTACAGCAGCGGAATAAACATTAAAACTAGTACAGTTTAAAATAAATAAGTGCCACAAGTGCATAGTGAGGGGCTTATAATGTGAGACGTGCAGTTTTTATATATACACAGCAGTGATAAAAAAGACAAAGAAAATAAAAAACAAATATAAAGTTGAAGATGAGGAAAAAGTAAGACTGACAACGTGCAAGAGAGTAGTGCAAATCTAAAAAACACAACTGCAAGAAAGTTAAATACAACATGTGTGTTTCACGTGTTACAGAAAGAAAATTCAACACTTGGAAGAGGTGGAGCAGACATATCCAAGTCTGTGCTTAGACATGTTTGCTTTTAAATAATCCCAAGATGTAACAAATATACTGAAACACACAAAGGTGTTGACATTAATAAAGCAGGTGAGTATCGTTGTGTTGAACGGCACACCAAGACAATTCTATACTTTTATACTTTCCTGCTAAACATCCTAAATGAACTGATTAATTTTTATTAGTAAAGGTTTTTAGCATAAATCAGAGTTCAGGCTTACACTGAAGATTAATTGGAAGTTTCAGCTTCCTTCTATCAGTAAATTAAAGGAAATACAAGAATAAGGACATAAAACAGATTTTTAAACTGAACGCATTATAATCTACAGCAGTCTGAGGTATGACCTCGGTAGGTTGCAGATTAGAAATTCCCAAATGGATTATTCTCTATAGCTGCAAACGATTTTATTCCTTTTATTTCAAGAAAGTTACTTGAAAGAAAGTGGGGGAAAATTCAAGGTAGAAGAAGATTTAACAAATACTGAGACTGCAGTGCCTGAGTCTCATAGCAGCTGTGTTTATTTGAGCCTTTCTGGTTATTAGTATGGCAGTCAGCGACACGTTTTTTGTTGTTGTAAGTGCTCAGCTGTGACATTAAACACTCCATCTTCGTCTCCTGACAGTTTGCCATTTAGTCTCTCACGTGCAACAAATCGTGGAACAATGCTGCCACCTGGTGGTAGAAAAAAAACTGTAACGTGCAGCATGTGAGCCATGATTGATCGCTTTGAAAAATACCGCTTGGTTGAAATTCTTTATTATTATTAATTACAGTTTGAAAAATAGAAACTTGGTGTATCTGCATAATCATACTTTCGGTAAATAATAATTAATTAATTACAATTATGTCTGTTTGCCCGTTTAAATGGATTTCTCGACGCTTTTAACCTTTTACTTTGAAACGCTGCACATGCTAGCGTCCGAAAACACTCAGTTTCTCTTTCCCAATTATCACTGCACATTTGATTCACTGACACTTTAATCCGCTATAAAACAAAAAATTAAAAAAAATAAATTAAAAATGCATTAAAACTTACTTTCTCGCTGTTATTGTTCCTCAATTTTCCTTACTTTCCCACCCGAAACCACGACACACAGTTTGGTAGCCAATGAGCATTTAGATTGATCACTCGATTACCAATAGGAACGTCTATACAATCACCCCCCTCCCCCCCTGATTTTAGCAGCCACCTACGTTTAAACCAACCGGATTCACCTCATATCAGTTAATGCTGTCAATGTTTTGTGATTATTTTACTCTGCTGCAAGTAAAACGTCACTAAACTGCGTGAAATAAAAATGAGAGTCACACTGATTCTGTTTATGTACACGGCAGTGCTCACACGGCAGAAGAAAGCTGTGTTGAATTAAAATACCACAAAGTAACATTCATGTAGTAAATTTATAGTAGATGACTCCTGGGTGCACTAAATACACATTAAACCCTGAGGAAATTTCAAAATAAGAGCTCTTCTTTTTCTTGGTTATTTTTTTCTTAGACTTTACCTAATTTATCAAGAGTATTAAGAACAGCCTTTCCCTCATTTTTTTTAACTTCACTGATCTGTATTTCTTTGAAATGATCATCTCTTCTAAAGAAAACTCGTCTAGCTTATGAATGAATTTGCGTAGTATCATAAATTAGTGTCACTAATTAAATTTCAGTCTCACCTGTTTAAAACTTGTCTCCAGTTTTTGATTTACTGACTGATATTTTTTCTTTTTCTTTCTCTGGTGATGGTATAAGAGAAACAGGTCACAATTCAGTAAGCTGCAAATATGAAGGTGATTTATTTCTAAAGAATGAGCAGCCATATTATCCTCAGAGTTTCCTTATGTTAACAAAAAAAAAAAAAACCTTAAAAACACAGTCTATAGTATATCTTACTAAAGTGGAATCACATAGAAACACAACAGAGTGTCAGTGGCAGAAAACCGATATACAATTTTGAAAAACAAAGTACACCCTCGTTCATTTCAAAGGTTTTACATGTTAGAACATTAATTAGAACATTAATCATCTTCTTCTCAACAGGTCAAAATCGAGGTAACGAGGAAACTAAAAACATGAAATTGCTCACCATTACATTATGTATTTAACAAATACTGAGCCAAGATACAGAATCAGCGTGTGAAAAATCCCACCCCAAGTTCACCTGTACTGCAAGTACACTCTTACTGGTGTATAATAACACAAATAATCATATCTTAGCTGCAGTGGGTGTCTCAGAAAATTCAACCCAAGGTCAGATAGTGCAAGAAAAGAAAAAAATCCCCAAAGGCCTCACTTAACATGTTAAATCAAAGTCCATGACAGACAAATAACTGTGAAGCACGGTGGTGGAGGGCTAATGATTTGGGCTTGTTTGCATTCAGTGAGTCGACCATGAGCTCCTCTGTGTACCACAGTGTTGTAAAGTAAACTGTGAGGCCATCTGTCTGACAAATAAAGCTCAAACTGGGTCATGCAGCAGGACAGTGACCTTGAGCAGAACAACAAATCTCCAACAGAATGATTTAAGGTGTTGCAATGTTCACAGACTACTTCTGCATTCTGGCTTAGTTTTTAAATAAATACTGACACACTGTAATATGTCATGTGACGATGTTCATCTGAGGTTGTATTTAAATCAATTTAAGACCTGCTAAGGACCAGATGATTCTTTTAATGTCCTGATGCGGACAATCTCAGAACTGACAGATGTGTACTTTTCCTTTCTCACGACTGTAGTTTCAGGTAACACACTGGCAGAAAATACATGACATGACATGAAGTCTACACACAGCACTGAAGGTGAAATAGGAGAAAGCTTTATTCTTTGCTCTGTTCTACAAAACTTTATTACAACATAAAGCTGACGAACAAAACTGCGTCTGCCGGACACGAAAAGTTTCTCTCTGGAAAATGCGGACATCATTTGAAAAGGAATCTATGTACAGTATTTATTGAGCGTTTGTTGAAGGTTCACTTTGGAGTTTTAGGAATCTTTGACAAAGAAGGAAGACGACACAAAGAACAGCAAAACATTTCTACTGGATACTTTACAAATGTCTCAAAGACTTTAGCACCATTTTGTTAAAAAGGTTCTTGATATAACAATGAGAAAAAATAGATTTAGAGCTGACCTGCTAACAAACAGTTCACACATTTATTTCTTTTCAGTCAAAGGGATTTAACAGGTAATCACTGGGAGAATTTTTGATTTTTTTTTTGCTAACTATTTAAAGCATACTTATCCAAACACGGTAGAAAATATTACAAAGGACAAGAAATAGGGCGTTTCATCTCCCTGCCTGTGCACTCAGTCTTGTTCTCATTGGCTGGTGGGAAGTTTTGCTTTGTGTCTTTTTGTGCGTCTGTGTTTTTTTTTTTATCCTGTTTTGATTGGTTCATTGGTAAAAAGCACCTGATTCTTTACACCCTGTCACGTTACAGTAACAAAGTTTGAGAAAGCAAGACAAGAAGAGCACGGCTGACTTTTAGAACCTGATGTCCCAGTACTGCAGCGTCGCTTTAGTGGCCTCAAAATCATCTTCGGCTGCAGCAAAATCGTTGTCGGTCATTGACGGCAGGCCCCCGTCTTCTGAATTAGAAAAAAATCACCGTGGTTAAGACTGAATTTGCTCTTTTTTTCTTCTAATTTAACATTTATTAATCACTTCATATCAGCTATTAAAAGACGATTGAATATTAAATGTATGTTTCATGTCTTTTCTTGATTTTTCTCTTATCTCACCAGTCAAGCAGAGGATCTGCGGCCTCTCCCAGAACCCTCCAGACAGACACCTGATCAGGGGGTTAAACCTCTGCTGGAAGCCCTCTGCGCATCGATAGCGCACCACGGCGTTGGTCTCGTAAGTCTGTCGAGCTTTTCCATATATGGAGGCATTTCTGACCCTTGGTGGTGGTCCACAGGAGGCTGTGGGAGGAGTTAAGATGCTTAAGTGCCTTCTCTGGGCTAGAATAAGTAGAAAACAGCTCGAAGCATCAAGCTCACGAGGGAGTTAATGAGTAATGAAGTGCTCTTAATGATGTCCCATTAGTGTTACTCACAGGTGCCTTTCTTGCAGGTGTATGAAAGGTGATAGTTGCAGGGCACATCGCTCCAGCGTCCGTTATCGTGCCACACCATCACCACACAGTCCTCTCCGGAGAGAAAGTAGCTGTCTGGCTGACCCCTGTACCAATTCTCATAAAGCTGTGAGGTATGTGTTATGTATGTTATTTTTATGTGTATACAAAGAAACAATAATCACAATAGAAATAGTTGAAAAAGCATAATATACATAATGTTTTCATTCTCCTCTTCTTCTTTGAGGTAGTTAATATTTAATAGTCTGGTGCCTTCCTGCATCCTGCTTGGTTTGTGTCTTACATAAGAGGTTTCAAAAAGAAAAACATAAACAGCAAAACTCGTTATGATAATAGATTTTCATTCATGATCATCCTGGCCATCATAAATAATAACCTACAGATGTGCTACTTTCAGATGCTCCCTTATTCACAAGGGGTCGCTGGATTCCTCACTGTTTTCACTGGGTCTTTTTTTTCCCTTGTTATTTGTGCTACCACTTGACATAATTGCCTTTTAGGTTCAATTTTACGGTCACATCTCAGTGCCTCCCTAGCAAATGCATCAGTGTTTCATTCCCCGTCACCCTCAGATGTTCTAGAACCCAGAAAAATGTAACTAAGCACAGGTGCTGGATAGCGTGCAATCTGACATCAAAACTTCCAAGTAACTTAAATAGACTACAAGGCAACTAAAATTAATCACGAAGCAAACACAAAGAAACAATATATTTTAGTTATCGTGGCTGCAAAAGAAAAAGAATCTTGATAAATAGAAAGTAGATCTTAATTAATACACCGGGTGTCTGGTTCTCCAGTTTGAGCATTTCCCTGTTTTTGTTTTTTTGTACTCTGCAGTTTTGTTTTGTTTTTTGCACACATAATAAAACCTCCTCACCAGTGGGTTCCCATCAGACCAGTGGAAATCATCCTCAATGGTCTTGTCATTCAGACCGGTCCACTGGTATTCCTTGTAGTTGTCTGTTGACCAAGACGTGGGATTGAATTTATGAGGAAAGAAATGAAAGCCACATTGTTTTCTCGTTCCCAAATGTGTTAAGGAAACCTACTGTTGATGTAAGCCTGTTCTTCAGGGGTTATTATGGACACCAGGTGAGCTCCCATCATGCGGCAATGCTGCTCTGCAGCCTCCCAGCTCAGACGCTGGCTGAAGTGTCGATAGCAGAAACCGTGAAATTTATCCCAGCCCGGTTCACATCGCTCCCGGTCTGAAAACATCACAGAGAAGAGAACAGGACAGCCAAACCAACAAGAGTCTTCAGATGTATCTGCAGGCTTTTATACTGAATAATTATATAATTTTCACTCCAGGCTGCATTGTAAGAAAATTACTGCTTGGCTTATTTTTGTTTGGAAACTTCTGGCTGATTCCCATCATATGTAACGTCCATTAAAGAGCAGAAGCGAGCTCACCGGCCTGACAGAAGTTTCCTTCATACGTCGGCAAACAGAGGCATTTAATGTGACCACCTCTGTCTGTGCAGGTGCCTCCGTTAAGACAGGGGTTGAGCAAACAGGCATCTGAAACACAACAGAGGGCAACTTTAAATTACTGTGCACCTGAAACCACTGGTCAAAGACTCATTTGTTATGTAACTGAATAATTACACATGTACAGGAAGACAGCCTTCATTTATGTGTAAGTCTAATTGGTGCCTGTGTTAATTAGAAGGCAGTTGAAGCACGTATGCTGACATTAGGTAAACAGCTGTAAGTAAATGTAGCAGGAACCATTTAGAAACTAAAGGGCATCAGGGTCGATGTTAGCCAACAGATGGCAGCAGAGGAGAACCTTTACAGCGTGGCCTGAGAGGGAAAAATCGTCAAATCTTCTTCTGGCATGTGTGCGATGCTTCCTTCTCTTTCTTCTTCATTTCTTCATTAGTAATAAACGCTCTCAAAAATCTTGTGGAAGAGGGAATCTAGACATGGATGTATTAATGTTGGGGGGGGGGGGGTTGTTTCCTATAATATGGAGCCCTGTGGTTCTAACAATTAAAAAAAAGGGCCCACTGGTCATTTTATTAAGCGGTATGCACTGATTTGCTGGTGTGCCAGTGGTACAATGAACTCTTTTGTTTGCTTTGTTTACCATTTTAATCAAAAGATGAGATAATGAGATGAGAAAAACCCACTAACATGCCCCTTTTAAAGTCACTGGACAGTAATATTCAACTGACCACCTTCTGACCTGCTGCTGCTTTTCATTAAAATGTTGAATTGTGTACATTTATAAGGGAAAATTTTAAAAAGATGAAAAAACTAAAGAAACACCCTTCAGCCGTGCTAAATGTTGACATTGCATAGTTTGTCCACCAGAAGGCACTCTGCAAATTCCCTGTTTGCATCACATGTCTGCAAAAACATAAAAGTGTTCACAGCCTTTGCATTGACACTGAAAATTTAGCTACGTTACATACTGTTTCCACTGTTCATCAAAGTCAGACTAAGTTACAACTTAGTTGGAGTCCACTTGTGGTGCATTAAGTTGACTGGAAACAATTTAGAAAGACACAACTGTCTTTATAAGGTCTCTTAGCTAACAGCGCATGCCAGAGCACAAACCAAGCCATGAAGTCCAAAGAACTGTCTGTAGAGCGCCAAGACAGGATTGTATCAGGATTGTACCAATGAGCACAGTGGCCTCCATCAACCGTAAATGGGAGAAATTTGGAACCACCAGGACTCAGAATTAGACTCCTGGCCAATCTGAGCAATTGGGGTAGACAGGCCTTAATCATTGAGGTGACCAAGAATCCACTCTGTTCACATTGACAGAGTAACAGCATTACCCTGTGAGGACAACCATTTGTGCAGCACTCCACCAGTCAGGCCTGTATGGTAGAGCGGCCAGACTGAAACCACTGCTCAGTAGGAGGCACATGAGGGCGTACTTGGAGTTTGCTAAAAGGCAACTAAACTTTTTAACCTGAACATGAAGTGCCATGTCTGGAAGAAACCAAACAGAATTCATCACATGGACAATAACATCCGTAGAGTGAAGCATGGTGGTGGTAGCATCATGCTGGGATGTTTTTCAGCAGCAGGAACTGGGAGAGTAGTCAGGGTCAAGGGAAATAAGGATACTGCAATGTACAGAGACATCCTTGTTGATAACCTGCTCCAGAGTACTGTGGACCTTGGACATCTTCTATCAGGACAAATACCCTCGGCACTAACTCAAGAAACAAAGGAGTGCCTTCGGGACCACTCTGTAAATGTTCTTAATTAGTTCAGCCAGAGCCTAGTCTTCAACCCAAGATCTGAAAATGACTGCGGACCGATGCTCCCCATCCAGCCCGATGGAGCTCCAGAAGTTCTGCAAAGAAAAAACTGTCCAAAAACAGGTGTGCCAAGTTTGTAGCCTCATAGTCAAAAAGAGGCTTTAAGTGCTACTAAAGGTTCTTCAAAAAAGTTGTAAGCAAAGGCTGTGAGTACTTATGTACATGTTATATTTTTGATTTTTAATAAGTTTGCAAAAATTTCAAGCAAACTTTTTTCACTTTGTCATTATGGGGTAATGTATGTAGAATTTCAATGTCAGAAACGAATTTAGTGAGTTTTGGAATAATGCTGTAACAGGACAAAACGTGGAACAAGTGAAGCACTGTGAATACTTCGTGTGTACTGTATATTTATCCATTTTCCTAACTGCTTATCTAGTTCTGGGTCTGCAGGGGGGTTGGGGAATGTCTACTGGCATCTTGTTATATTTATCACAATCAGATGATATCTAAAGAGAAAAACACTTCTGAAGCTTCATTTTGCTTTTCTAAATTTGTAAAACCAAGGAAAAACGAAACCATGAGTGTTCAAGCTGGAATTAAACATTTTACAAGTGGATTCGGTTTGTTTGCTTCCTTTGACACCCTGTAAACAAGAACTATGTGCTGCCTGTCATTATCCCCACACTCACATATTGCTCTCTTCAGAAATCTCTTTCATTGCTCAGATCGTGTGTATGAAAGGTAATAACTGCTTTACACGAATCAAATGAGATTCACGTGCACTCAAAGTTAAACCATCATTCAGTTTTGATGAAGAATACACAGATGGTGGATGGAAAACCACTGAGGTGCCTTTCAAGTCTTACCTATCAAAAAATGAAACTTTATACTGTGACGGTGTTCACATCTGAGACTTGTTTTTGTTTGCTTTTCAACAGAAACAGAGTTTAGATTCACGGCTCCATCTGTGAGCCGATTTCCTTCCCTTTTGTCAAACAACACAACAATAACTTGTCTGCAGACGACAATGCAAGGCTAGTAATTTCAATTACTGAATGATTGATGACTTTCTCATTGTGTTTCTCTGCCTCCTTTCCTCTTTAGGCTGCCGACTGCAGTATTTTATCACCATGAAGAGTCCATTGTATAAAGATCATTATTCACCCCAAAAAAGGCTTAATTATGGTGCTGAAGCTGAAATTATGTATGAGAAATAGGAAAGGCTTCTGCATGCACTAATCTATGTAATACTGAGGTTTTTGGGGGGAAGGCAAACAGTTTGGATGCTTGAAAATTGTCTTGTAATAGAAGTGCAGCTTGGAGAATGCACGTTTTGCATATTTTTCACCTTTATGAGTCCATTTGTGGAGTAAAACCATGAAAAGCTTACTTACTTACTTAAAATATATAAACTTTACTTAACCTCCTAGGACCTGGCATCCACATGTGTTGTATGTGGACATCACATTTTGGGCTGTCTAAACCAAAATACAAAAGTTTGCTCTACAAGGGCCTAATATCCACTTACGAGGACATTATACTTCCACTGCGCTATGAAAATTTAAAATGAATGTCCTCATATGTGGATCTCATTTTTCTCAGAAACAAAAATCAGGTAAAAAAAAATCTGGTAATTCTTTGTTTTTTTATATTCATCAGGTCCCAATCAGCCCAAACAGCAAAGAGAAATTAAAAATGCATGCCATGAAAGAGTTCAGGTCTCAGGAGATTAAAACAACAGCAAGTAAAGCCCGCTTGGGTCCAAATTAAAGTAATAAGGTTTGGCATATGGCGGCCACAGACTATTGTGACTATTGAGTGTGGAGGAGATACCAGTACACACGTTTTTCGGTGAGGAGAGCTGGACAGGGCTGTAGATGGGCATTAAGCCAACAGCAAAATAATTTCTGCTCCAATGTGGATGGAGGAACAGGAGAAGCACTATCAAAAACCTTAACCTCCTGCAGGTTACTTATGTGCGTGTTTCTGATCAAACCATCAGATCCAGACTCCATGAGGGTGGCGTGACAGTACAGCATCTTTTACTGGGACTTGTGCTCACAGCTCAGCATCGTACAACTCAATTGGCATTCGCCAGAGAACACCAGTGCTGGCAGGTCCACCACTGTAGCCGTTTTCACCTCACAAAAAAGAGCAGGTTCACACTGAGCTTCTGTGACAGAGGCGAAAGAGTCTGGAAAAGCTGTGACAAACATTACGCATTCTGGTTTGAGAGTAGGTGGCCGGTGTGTATAGGCAGTTATTGGGGAACCAATGCATTGATGCCATTGATTTACCCACACATTCCCCAGACCTGAATCTTATTGAGAGCCTCTGAGATTCAGGTCTGGGAGTAGATCCCCCACAACACCACCTGCCATCGAGTCAGGAGCATGACCAGACATTGTCACATTGTCAGGAGTGCACATGGGGCAATAAACATTACAGCTACATCATGAGACAAGTTGGATCCGACTGTGATTTTGATTTTTTTTAACTTTTTTTTTTGCTGTGATTTCGAATCTACAGTTCTCAATTTCGTTTACCTCGAATTCTACATTCAGTAAAGATTTTTAGTGTAAATATTTTGTTTCTCAAGATCCACACGATATCTTAGTTTTTTTTTTTCAAAAGCTGAATTATTCTGAATAGTGTTTGACTTACAATATTAACATACACCAGGTTGTCAGTGGCCTTTATTGACATACCCACATGGAAATCTTAATAGAAGAACTCTGAGGTCGACTTTTTCCAGTTTCTGAAACTGTGCTTGATGAAATGCATGTCAAGCCTTAAATGGTTTGTTGGTGACCTGGTGGATGTTAAGAGCTTAAAAGCAGCTTTTCTCTTAAATAAGTTTCCATCCTAAATTTCCCATATTTCTTGAAGTTGAGTCCACAATGGCAGCTGCTTCTTTTGAAGATTCAATAAACCCGATTATATGGAAGCCAAGTGCTCCAATGGAAAAATAAAGTGCAGTTTTAAATAAGAGAATTAAAATTCAAAAATATTTCATTTAAAAGATTAATTTAAAACCATGAGAACTGTGTTTTATGTTTGTTTGTTTGTTTGTTTTGTGGAACAAATAAGCTTCCATACAATGCATCAATATCCACAGCTGCCACATGAAGTCAAAAAAACGAATGTACCAAAGGGAAGGAATATAAAGTAATGCATTTATCAACTTGTGGTAAGACAAGAAACCAATAAAGATTTGTTGCCTTTATCATTATTAGACCTAAAAACACAATACAAATCTAGAACAACTGTGATTAAACAACAATTTTTAAGTCGAGTATGAAACATTAATGACAAAAGGACACGTGAACATGTTGCTAAATGCAAACACTCGTGCAATCTACAATGAAAAGGTTTTGTGCTTGTAAACATAATAATCTGTGCTTTTTGTACCACAGTGACTAAAACAGCAATGAAAAGGAAGAAAGAAAATCAGTTAAGACTTAAATATAAAGCATTACTGCAGCTTCATTGGTCAGTGCTGTTACATTCAAAGTAATTGTTACTTTCCAGAGAACGATTAAGTCCCTTATTATGTTGCTTCCCAATTAATGGAAAAGATACTATGAAAATTGAAAGATAGCAAGAACAAAATGATTTTATAATATCTTTTGCACCTGTTTGGTGCAGAGATGGATGATTTACAAATAAAATCTGATGAATTTAGCTATAACCATCACTCTGGCAGGCCCTCACTGGAGAAGAAACCCGTCATTCAAAAACACTAGTAAATACAGTACTTCACAGAAGTCATTCTTTGGATGAGGAAAAAACATCATGCACAACAAGACTGGACTGTGGACAAATGTCAATGGGAGCTGTCCCAGTGTGAGAATCTTGGAGGGTAGAGCGGGGGAGTCACAAGGAGAGGAGTAAGGAGTGTTTAAGGGGAAGTGGGAAGAGTCAGAAGGGTGAGTGGGCTTGCTGAGACAACAGGTGAAAAAAACGTGGGAAGTCATTTGAAAAGCAGGACGGGTGTTTTACAGAAAATGGAGCAGAGGCAGGTTGGGCAGAGGACAGACGAGGAGTTTTAGTGCATCACTGTGTCGAGCAGGAAGAGGACGGTTAGACTGATGAAAGTGGCATTAACATTACCTGAAGATTTCCCAGTACCGCCTACGGCTGCCCTCTCATTGGGCATGATAAGCAGAGTTGGCGGCTGGGTGAAAGTAATGTCAACATCTTCCAGAGCGTGACCCACTGGTGGTATCAACATTTTGGGGGTGGTGGTGGTTGGGCTCCAGGTGTGTCTGGACCGGTGTGTGGTGGTGGTGGTGGTAGCTGCGGTTGTGGTTGTGGTGGCGACAGTGGTCGTCTTTGTGGGCTTTGTACCTCGAGAAGAACTTGAAGCTGCTGTGGAGGTTTTTTGGCTGTACTCATTGCGAGATTCTTGGGGTTGAGTTGTGCTGGTCAACAGATCCCACTTGGATGTTTGAGAACTGGAAGGAAAGATGGCGAAGTCCTCAGAGGCATCAGTTTTCTCTTGAGATGTCGGGGAAACATTAGTTTCATCTTCGAGGGTCGGGGCAACAGTAGCCTCTTCTTCAAAGACACGGATTGGGATAACGTTGGCTTCGTCTTCATCAAGCACAACAGTTTGGGAAAAATCACTATCTTCTTCTAGGGCTGAGGAAACATCAGCTTCTTTCTCAGTAAAAAGAGCTGTGCTAACATTAGCTTGTTCATAGACATGGGTTGAAGAAGTGTTAGCCTTTTCTTCATACTCAAAGGAAGGAGCAACATTAGCTTGTTCAAAGACTCGAGCTGAGGACACGTTAGCCTTTTCTTCATACTCAAAGGAAGGAGCAACATTAGCTTGTTCAAAGACTCGAGCTGAGGACGTGTTAGCCTTTTCTTCATACTCAAAGGTAGTAGAAACATTAGCTTCTTCTTCAAGGGTTGAAGAGGTGTTGGCTTTTTCTTCATACTCAAAGGTAGGAGAAATATTGGCTTCTTTTTCAAGAGCTGAGGACGTGTTAGCCTTTTCTTGCAAGCTAATGTTTGAGGAAAGATTAGGTTCTTTTTCAATGACAGTAGTTGGGAGAACATCAGCTTCCTCTTTAAGGGTTAAAGAAGCATTTATCTTTTCTTCATACTCAAAGGTAGGCGTAATATTAGCTTCTTCATCTTTAAAAACAGCAGTTGGGACAGCATTACTTTCATGGGCTGAGGAAACATTTTCTTCAAAATCAACCGTTGGAGAAACAATGTTCTCTTCTTCAAAATTTAAAGAAACATTTGCTTCTTTTTGAAGAGCAAGGGTTGGGGAAATTTTTATTTCTTTTTCCAGAGAAACGGAAATGTTGGCTTCCTCTTCAAGAGTTAAAGACACTTCACCTTCAAAGGTTGGAGCAAATTTTATGTCTTCTTGAAGGGTGGTCCTAAGTGTATCAGGTACATGACCACTTGCTTCTTCATAAGTATCGGTCATAGTATCCAAATACATTCTGTAGCCTGATGTTAGATATAGTGCTGTGGGCGAACTGGTGGATGAGTGAGAAGTGTTTGAGACGTCTGGAGAGCGAGTGGTAACTGAACTTGCTCCAGACACTTGCAGGTCTTCAGATTTTGATGTGGGCAGCATTTTATCCTCATTTTCCAAACTGAGCGTGTCTTCAATTTCTAAGCTTGCACTTCCCTCCTGTTTAGAGTTGGGGGACTCCCACAGCTGTGAGGCTGTAGAAAGAATATCCAAGCCCAGTTTGTCAGAAAGGGGTGACTGAGATGAGGCTGTCAAATGTGGAACCACTGTCTGAGGTTCAGCATGGGTGCTGCTGGCAGAAGCAATGGGAGACAGGTGAGTGGTGAAGCCAGAAGTTGAGGAATCTGATGTGGAGATGAAACTGGCTGGACTCATATCGAGTTTGCTTTCTGGAAAAGAGCATAGAACATTATGGGATTACATACTGTTTTTGAGAAGTATATTTAATTGCTTGGATGAGAAAAATTAGAAGAAACAATAAGTCTACTGTCAATCTCTGACCTTCAGACCAAAAAGATTAGAAACAGGGAAACAGCTAGCTTTTCAGAAGGTAACAAAATCTGCCCTCTTCACATAGGTGACCAAACTCTAGGGCGTTACAGCTCTTAGCCAGAAGGTAGTCCAGAATATAACCCTTTTAGTTCTTCTATTATAATAAAAAACATAAAATGTGACATGGATATCTCATGCTAGCCTAACTCTTGACAAGAAAGTAATTTATCTAAGATAATAATGTTTGAACTTTTGTGGGACATGCACATACCTTCAGAAATATCTCCAGAACCATCCAAAGGAGCCCACACTGAGGTTAGCACCTCCAGAGTAGATTCAGTAGTTTGGGATAATTGTGTAAGAAGTGTTGCCTCTTCTTCTTCTTCTTTTGAGGCCTCAGTTGGGGGAAACATCTGCTCAGGGTCTACACGGGTCTCCTCCAGCTCCACTTCAACCATGGGGTTAAGGGTTAAAGTAGTAGCCTCCAATAAACTGTCCTCTTTAGTACGGTTGCTGTCGGTCTCACTGTAGTTGGGTTCTGATTTGTTAAAAGACAGGGTGGTCTGCTGTACTTCTTTGGTATCATTCAGAGTTCCAGATGGCTCTGTGTTTACTTCAATATTTGTGTCTGGCTCTGTCTGGTTCTGCATCTCAGGCTCAAATGTGGGTCTTTCAGACTGCTGAAAGGTGAGACTCGAGTTCTGGCTGGAATATGTTTCATTGTAATCAGTGGGCAGAAATGATGTGTTCTCTGCTGAATTGTGGGTTTCTGTGATAGTGCTGCTCATCAGTGCTGTAGGATGCTGGGAATTGTAGCTCATTTCTGTGGGAGATAAAGTTTGGTCGAGCGGCTCGTGTAGTGCAGGGGTTGTGTGGAGGGGAGACTCTGTTGTGTCTGATATCAGCATTGGGTGTGTATCAACCGGGCTTTCTGTAGTTACAGAGACAGTAAAATAAGGCAATGATTCAAGCATGCTCTGGGCCTCTCGCTCCACCTGTTCTGCTAGTTGGTTCAACTGAATTTCTTGATATTTTTCCGTAAGAATAACAACATTGTGTTCAATGTCTTCAGGTTCTGTGCCCACATAGTCCATCGGAGAGTCAGTGGAAGCATTTCTGTTTTCTGCAGAGAGCAGACAAACAATTAAATATAACATGTCAAATATGGAACAAACAAATCTAGTTATGCTTTCTTTCTTGTTAAATATGCACTACATATTGTTCCAACATCATATTTTTATTCCCTTCTAGAGTAGCTTTTCATGAGTCATAACAGTCAAAATAATGCTTATTTATCTGATGATGGGCTTTGATATGAACTCTCAGTTCATTCTCTGTCTAAATCAATATGTTTGGGCCCATCTCCCTTCAAGCCAAGTTTCAAGCTGTGTTTGAGATTACCAGGTTATCTTCATATACAGATGCCATCATATACATTGGCTTGCAAAAGTATTCGGCCCCCTTGAACTTTCCCACATTTTGTCACATTACAGCCACAAACATGAATCAATTTTATTGGAATTCCACGTGAAAGACCAATACAAAGTGGTGTACACGTGAGAAGTGGAACGAAAATCATACATGATTCCAAACATTTTTTACAAATAAATAACTGCAAAGTGGCGAGTGCGTAATTATTCAGCCCCCTTTGGTCTGGGTGCAGTCAGTTGCCCATAGACATTGCCTGATGAGTGCTAATGACTAAATAGAGTGCACCTGTGTGTAATCTAATGTCAGTACAAATACAGCTGCTCTGTGACGGCTGTCTAAGAGAATATTAGGAGCAACAACACCATGAAGTCCAAAGAACACACCAGACAGGTCAGGGATAAAGTTATTGAGAAATTTAAAGCAGGCTTAGGCTACAAAAAGATTTCCCAAGCCTTGAATATTCCACGGAGCACTGTTCAAGCGATCATTCAGAAATGAAAGGAGTATGGCACAACTGTGAACCTACCAAGACAAGGCCGTCTACCTAAACTCACAGGCCCAACAAGGAGAGCGCTGATCAGAAATGCAGCCAAGAGGCCCATGGTGACTCTGGACGAGCTGCAGAGATCTACAGCTCAGGTGGGGGAATCTGTCCTTAGGACAACTATTAGTCGTGCATTGCACAAAGTTGGCCTTTATGGAAGAGTGGCAAGAAGAAAGCCATTGTTAACAGAAAACCATAAGAAGTCCTGTTTGCAGTTTGCCACAAGCCATGTGGGGGACACGGCAAACATGTGGAAGAAGGTGCTCTGGTCAGATGAGACCAAAATGGAACTTTTTGGCCAAAATACAAAACGCTACGTGTGGCGGAAAACTATCACTGCACATCACTCTGAACACACCATCCCCACTGTCAAATATGGTGGTGGCAGCATCATGCTCTGGGGTTGCTTCTCTTCAGCAGGGAAGCTGGTCAGAGTTGATGGGAAGATGGATGGAGCCAAATACAGGGCAATCTTGGAAGAAAACCTCTTGGAGTCTGCAAAAGACTTGAGACTGGGGCAGAGGTTCACCTTCCAGCAGGACAACAACCCTAAACATAAAGCCAGGGCAACAATGGAATGGTTTAACACAAAACATATCCATGTGTTCGAATGGCCCAGTCAAAGTCCAGATCTAAATCCAACCAAGAATCTGTGGCAAGATCTGAAAACTGCTGTTCACAAACGCTGTCCATCTAATCTGACTGGAGCTGTTTTGGAAAGAAGAATGGGCAAGGATTCCAGTCTCTAGATGTGCAAAGCTGGTAGAGACATACCCTAAAAGACTGGCAGCTGTAATTGCACCAAAGGTGGTTCTACAAAGTATTGACTCAAGGGGCTGAATAATTACGCACACCCCACTTTTCAGTTATTTATTTGTAAAAAATGTTTGTAGATTACAGACCAGACCTTTTTGAAACCAGGTATTTATTGCAATCTGAAGCAGGATTTTATTATATCAAACTGTGGCCTTGTTAAATCAGATCAAATTAGAGAAACTGTATTAATCCCAGGGAGAAACTGAGTAAATATGAGCCAAAAAAGGGAAAATCATAAAAGGTCCACTTTAGAGTTTTTGCCAAATTAACAATCAACAGTTTGCATTTAAAGGCACAACATTATCACCTTTGAAACAGTAAACATCATGAAGGCTGGATGGCTCTGGGAAGCCAGTCTGGTTGCTGAATTGGTAGAGAGTTTTGACGCCAGGCAGAGTACCCCCACAGCGTTCCCTTGGGGTTATGATGGGGTACCGCACGCTGCCATCAGACAGCCAGCCAGGGCTGCAATGGTCCAGTCCTTCACTCCAAGCCAAGTAAAGCTGTGCTGTTGTAGCCAGCTCTGCCCCTGCAGCTCTGCAGTACGACTGCGCTTCATTAAATGTTAATTGCTGTGGGATGAAGTCATGGAAAACCTCCCCTACAGACAGAAAATTTGTTCAGCCTTTTACTTTTTCTGGATACAAGTGAGTAAAATGCTGGCACGACTGCAATTATGTGCCAGTCTTAATTTATAATGGATATTTGTATATAGTAAGTGGCATGTTTTTATCTGATGTGATGCATGACATTTCACTACAGAAAGTAAAAACATATAATTATATGTTTGAACTAAATAAAATCATTGTAATAGTTATTGTCCATCACAGATCCCTAATGCCGTTTTCCAAATGTAAAATGTATAATTTGACTTACTTACAGATTAGGCCAGATGTATCATTATTGCATTAAGCCTACTGGCAAAAGAACAAAAAACCCAAATCCTACTATTTACATACAGAAGTTATTAAACTGTTATAATTCCTACCATTAATTTCGTCTACATAACAATAAACATCGAACAGATCATCTGGATCCATTGTCCCATAGTTTCTCACTCCTGGTTGCCCATTCATGTCTCCATAGCAGCCTTCACGAGGCACTTGGATTGGATATCTGCAGCAAAGCAGCAAAACAACCAATATCCTCACTTAAGACTCGACAAACATGTGACATAACATCAATGCTGCATTTGGCGATAGCTTGGTAAATCTGCAACATTACCAGCTGGTAATGTTATGACACGTTTACTCTGTGGTCACTCAATAACCAGCTCACACATGGATACTTATAGAGCAACACAAATATAATGTATTTACATATAACAATAACTATATACAATAACTATAATGTTATTTAAGAGTCTGGGTGTTTTTTTTTATCATACTAAAAGGCCTACATGCCCATGCTACTTGATTGTTTCCTTTGTTTATGCTGATGGATGGATGGATGGATGGATGGATGGATGGATGGTAGGTAATACAGGATTTCATAACTCCACTTTCACTATGATTGTATATTTACATGCATTATAATTTACCTATGTATATCGACAACATGCATATAATGGCATGCCATTTTGATCTTGTGGGTTTGACACATAGTTTCAAATCTCATTGCCTTAAGTACATTTATACAGTTATTTAACTGACATTACATTTTTGATATAGTCTCTAAATACAGTAAACTAGTTTTGTGGGTCCCCTGCAATACTCAGGTGCTGTTCTACTCTATAAAATGTTTTTTTTACATCATTGTTAGATGGTGTCATTCATATAAATTAGATTTTATTGTCATGAGCCTCTTTTACTGTATGGGTGTATGTTTAACAGAAATGAATCTTGCACTATATAGTTAAAGAGGGTGGACAGTGTGTTGCTAATGAAGTTGTTATAGGTGCATAAATGGGTCAGTTTAGAGGTTGGTGAGTGGTTTCTTACATTAGGTAAGTATATATATTGTTTTATAACGTTGCTACCATAGTAAGATAATTTTGTTTGTATTGAGATGTGAAGCACACCTGAGGGGCAGGTGGAGAACGTTACGGCTATACTTTGTAAGTAAGCAACCTCTGAAACACTATCTGACCGATGAAGACGTCAGTGATTACAAACTTATATCAAGAAGTCGAGTAAAACAACAAAAACATCTATATCAGCTGCATGAGCCTGTAAGATATGTTTTATCTGTCTCTATCTTTTTAATAAGTTGTACTGTGAGCATGATACAGAGGGCACACAGGTGATGAAATACCTGACAGACTGGTCTGCGAGCCAGCCCCCGTCACACTGCTCATATCCGTCGTAATAAGATGCAAGCAGCTGGTCGGCGGTGGCGATTCGTGCCCCGATGGCCTCACAAGCCCTCTGGGCCCGATGGAAGGTGAAGGCATACCGACCCAAAGCATCTCTGTAGTGGAACACAACACCTAAAAACACACACAGCATGCACATAATAACATACCTACAAATACATTAACTGCATTACCTGTTTCAACTGTTTTAAGTCAATAATTTGGAAAAGCTCCTGGAACAAAGACATCTTACTAAATGGAAAGAAACTGAGCTGGAAACTGAGCTACACAACTAGAAACAACTCATTAATTATCATTACACAGAGGATTGGGTATCTTTGGGTTCAGGCAGTTTTCAGTGGATTCTACTAAGATGAGAGATTCAGATATTTTCTTACCAAAATCACAGTGTGGAACCAATAATCAAACTACGAAATGATTTCAAAACACAGAAGTTTTAGCAGAGTCAGTATCCTTCTTGTGGTTTTTCTTTCTTTTTCTGAGAATTGTAGTTAAAAAACACAGTCTCTAATAATTCTGTGTAATCTACCCCAAACTTTACTAATGAGCCATGTCTTTCATCGCGTTACCTTTGACCTTGAGCTCCACGAGGTCACTGGCGTCCTCCAGGCCCTGCTGCACCTCGCAGCGGTAGTGAGCCGAGTCGCTGGAGCGCAGATCTCCCAACCAAAGTGACGCATCATCAGGGAAGGAGGTGTAGTTGAGCAACGCCGCTCGGTCTCGGTACGCTTCATTGACCTTCACCTTGTGACCCCGTACCACTAAGATCTGCGTTTCAACCCCCCTTGATATGACTGACCACTTGACCCTCGGTACAACAGGCGTCGCGGAGGTGGAGTTGGAGATGGGGGACAGAGACACCACACAAGGGATGGAAATGGAGCTGCTCAGTGGAGCAACAACTGGTCCTGAGTGGGGGATGCTCACGTGGAGCTGCTCCACCTCATCTGGAAATTAATAAAAAGAAAAGAAAAGTGAACCATGCTCCCACTTCTCAATGCACTTTTGTAGTCTCTGTTTATGGAATCAAAAAGTGATCAGGGGAAATGTAGACACCGTACCGTATGTGTACCGTAGAGTTTGGGTGGGAAAGGCCAGTGTGAGATGGCAGACTGCATAAAGAAGTGGAAGTATCTGCACATGTCTGTGGAGATTAAAAAGGCAAACACAGTAAAATATTAATAAAATAAATAAAATGAAGAAGAAAAGCAGATATTTTTCTTCCAGTTTCACAAATATGAAATGGAATTAAATAAAAATGGATTTTTAATAAGTACAATGATTTCTGACATTGGAGGTCATATGTTGTGTCGGTTCATCTTATCTTATCTAACCCATAAGAAGGAACAAATGTCCCAGACACATAAGAAAACTGAGGGATTCAATTTCAGTTTTCAGGCTATCAGTTGAAAGACTGAAATAACTATCCACATTATATTGAACAGACTTGGTGTTATCCCGCTGACATAAAGGAGCTGTAATAATGTTTTATTAGCTGCACAAATGTAATTTCTATCCCATAAAATGTCAGAAACAGGTCTCAGTATAATACCAGAGCTTTTAAATTTACCATAAACTTGGCCTCAACACATCAGTGAAACTGCTTCAACAAACACTGAGCATTATGGTTCTCATAAAACTACAATTTACAGCAGGCCTTTTTCCTATAAGTCAGGATTAGTTTTAGCTGAGCACACTAGAAAACTGGCAACAGAGTTTAAACATTAAAAAAATACAATAACTATAAAATTTTGTGAGAAAGACCTTTTGTTTTAAGTTGTAACTTTGGAGCAGAAGCTCTGAGTAAAACACACGTGTCCCAAAAAAAGCTCAGCCATACAGTATAAAAGACCAACTTCTCTGGTTTTCGAAAGGAAGCTGGAAGCAGAGGTTCCTGACCACAAGTCATTCATCACCTCCAGGAGCTAATGACACAGCGTTTCAGCCCAGCGGCATCCTGCCAGTGCTCCGTCACCAGCCTGGCCCTGTTATTAACCCAGCAGCCATGGCAAGACATCCACAGCAACCTCACACAACCTCCTGATTGGGCCGTCATTGAAAAACAATTAAATACTGGACAGTTTCAACATTCGTCAAGGTGTTTCATCAGTATTCCTGCCAGTGTCATATTCAACCAACCTCACACTTCACCAGAAACACTGATAGTGCAAGGTTAGACCTTTAATCTTGCTACCTAAAGTTGTCGGATAAGAAATTTATTTTATTATAAAACAGAAATTTTACACTGTACAATACAAGTCTTTATTAACTTATTAACTTCAGCCACAACACTTGAAGTTGGAGTAAATACCATTAATAATCTCATTATACTGCAATGTTCTGCTCAGCCTAAACGAACAGCACACCACGATGGCAGCACTCTCCCCCAACAGAAGAATGCTCTCTGCAACAGCATAACTAGACTGAGCATCAACGATAGACGCCTAAATAATCCTGATCGCATTAAGACCCAGCCCACAAACCACAGGACCCAGAGGATTCCCTGGTCTCCTTCTATGCCCAAATGGGTCAGAACTGTTTTGGCACCATGACGAGGATGTGTACAATGTGAGGCTGGTGGTAATAACTGGTGGGACCATTGCAAAGCAAGCAATCTGACTGTATATTGCTGTACAAAAAAAACATAGAAACACAGTTCAAGCACTGTAAAAACCTGTGACGCCTGCTTGTGTTTTCTTTCAAAAGAAAGTTTAGTATTTACAGTATACCGAGTGATTAACTGACATAGTGGGAGAAGCAGAAACTTAAAATTGTGGCAGAGGCCACAATTTTCATGCCACACATGTCATTTTATCACTGACTCATAGGAAAATTAGTCTTTTTTCAAATGCTCTGTTCCTCCAAGTCAACAGACTTGCACTTTTAGATCTCAAGGCATCTGATTGATCGAGGGTTTCTGGAGAAAAATGAAAGTGATCTCTATTTCTATCTCACCCCTGCGACCACAATTTTAACATCAGAAACATTAAAAAAAATTTACAGATACTGTGGAGCAATATCTTGGGATCCTTATGCTTTTTAAACCTGTGTAGAGGATATAAGCAGTTTCACAAGAGGTGAGCGAAGCTCGTTTGAGAGATTTGGACGGTTGGATACTCTGAGTTACACAGAATGCCATGACCATGGTAACTAACCGGGCTTGAGCGACACAGGTGGAAGCAACTGACAGCTGGTGGACATTTGATTGGTGGATTTAAATTTCCTCTCTCCCTCTCGCTCTCTAATCAGCATGACTATCCGGTGCCTAACAGGATCTCTGTTTCTTAGTGGAAGACCAGTGTGTTTTTACAATGCCAAATTTTAAACCCCAACCCAGCGCAGACAATCCAACACATCGAGTCCAGCAGTAGCAACAATCACACCACTGATAATCTTAAATTTTTACTGTTCTTGTAATGACGGAGATCACAATCTCAGTCATTAACAGCTAAGGAAGGTGGAGCTTTTGCACTGATTAGTGCTTTGCTGATACCACCGATCCAATAAAGCTGTAATTTGGAAAGAGTGTTAAAGATGATGGTTTAAACAGCCATATATGTTATCACATCACTTAGTTTTTTCCATAAACTTTCTCAATATGAGCCTCAGAGCCTCTAGTTGCCTTCTGCAAGGTACGGTACTACAAGAATTGACCTCCTGTATATCAAGTAGATCCCTGGTAAGGAGTCGGCACACACAGCTCAGTAACTTGTGTCACATTAAATGGCCTTCTTTGATGGTAGAATAACTGTTGTCTGTTTTCTTGCCAGCTGGGTGGACTCCATGGTGCTGGTATCACTATTAGTATTCTTGAGAAGACGTTTCACAAAAAAAGCGAGGAGCGGGCCAAGAGGACAGCTGCACACTGTGCTTTCACTTCATACCAAGTCCCTTACAAAGGGCTTCAGGGAAAATTAAAGGACAGGGCACTGGCACACTTGCTTGCTTTTTCTCTTTTATTTCTTTCACCCCTTTCATTGATGGAGAAGGAAGTTTCAAAGCACTAAGAATCATTCTAGGGCAGGCTTTGTACAAAAGAAAGGGCCACATTAAGACCCCGTACACTGATTCAAACGGTATAATGTGACAGTGTGCTTAAATACCGGTTTGTGCTTTCAGATTGGTGACAGCAGAGAAAATCCTAGTTGCTGCTGGTTGTTTTGTGCCGTCTTTAGATCGCATTTTTCGGCCTCGCCTTCGCCAAGCACTTTGCAGGTCTGCTTGTTTTAGTGAGGTTAGCAGTGAAGACAAGTCAAGCTGAAATCAATGCCACCCACTGCAGCTACGGCCCACAAACTGCAGCCAGCACTCTATCCAAAAGGACAACTAATCCAGAATCTTCTGTGGAATAATCAGCTACAGACTAACGCATTTATGGAAAAGAAAACATAAGAAATTGGCGTTAAATAAACCTCATCAACTTTATGCAAACATCCCTGTCAGTGCTGCAAAGACATTCCTCTGCAGCCTGCATCAGTGTCAATGCACACAAACCAGGAAGAGGCTCCTGATCCCAGTTTAGCCAGCTCAGACATGTCAGTTTGACTGATGTGCTGTAAACTTGGAGGAGTGCTGAGCTGGAACTGGCTTTAGGAGGGATATGTCCAGGATAAAACAGAACAGGGTCCCATAAAAATGCACAGTTTTTGCAACTATGGTCTATTTGTTGTCTTCTTTTCTTCTCCTTCTTTTAATATTTAAGATTTCAGTTTTCAGACTACATGTAAACAGAAGTTAAATGTAACATAAAGCAGCCTGTTCATTTATTTCAACTTCTTTTCTTTTTCTAGTGTATGAAAAAATTATTTAAGCACAGAGTTTATAATGCATCCAGCAGCTGCTTCCTAATGCAATTAACATTGAGCAAGATGTTTGACCTGGAAGAAATTTAAACCATGTTAACTAAATAAATTGTATTTATTGGCCCTACACACCAGAACTCTGGTCAGCAGCTGGATATTCAGTTGGACAGTTGTGATTGAATAACTGACTCCCACAAGTATACATTCTTGCTGCTATTTACCTTAATAACAAATCCATTTATGTTGATGACATTTGCCTGACCTAAACCAGACAGAAACCACTTTTACATCCAGCTCAAAACAAATAAACTTAATGTCAGTCTTTACTTCATTTGGAGACCTTGGCAGGGTCAAAGGAGGTGATTCAGTTCAGAAACAACATCAAACCCAGACTTTGAATATAAACACTGGCTACTGTACACTTAACAGCAGAGCGAGTTGGTAAATGAGGCTATTCACTCAGCACCACACCTCCAACTCCCTACATCATCAGTGGTCTGTCTCCTGTCTACAAGATTACCACTTTGGAAGAGCCACCCACCAGCTGATTCACCACCCACTTTGTCTGGGAACAAATTAAAGTGTGTTTTGCGCAAACACCTGATCCTAGGCTTGACTCAGTGGATCCACAGATGAAGCTCAGCCTGTACAGCTGTCCTTTTATACACAGGAGGCAATTTCCGCTTGTGTTCAGGATCAGGTGGGCTCTGCTTTCTGAGACGCATCACTTTCTTCGTTCAAGGCAAACATGCCCAGGAGTCAGGCACCTGCAGTTTGAGCTCAAATCTGCACTCAAATACTCAGATACACAGACTCTACTAAAGTAGCTTTGCATGAGCGATAGTTAGAAACACTGCAAAGTCTTTCAGCTTACCTGCTTTCTGAAACAAGCTCCTTCCCTTTTAGAGAAGAACCCCTTTAAATAAATCTTATTTTGAGTGGCTGCCCCTCTCAAGAAGAAGGTCTGAATACTAGGTGGGTATGGCAACCGAGCTATTCAAGCACCCTGGAGCCTGCACTTTTGGCTCACAGGGGTTATTTTGCATGACATTTGTGTCACGGGGCACAAATGTGTTGTCCTCCGTCATATGCAGTAGCTTAATATTCAGTTTGAATTGCCAGGATTGCTCATTCATTTTGAATATTTTGACATGAGCAGCGATTCAGAGGTCTGAGCAAGGCTTGCTATTTATCTAATTATACACCTGAGTGCAACTCATCCTCAACAACAACAACAAAAACAAGAACAACTTCTGTAACTATAGCTTTAGCTGAACAACCTACTGGTGCAGTGGAGGATCAACAACATATCTGGCTCTAAATTTGAGCAGATGGCCGTCCATTCTCCACCATGCTTTACATTTCATCTTATATTTAGTGTAGAGTTCATCACTCTAGTTTGGGTCAGATCTCTAGATAGATTGTGAGCCACATTTTTACCAGCTGTGACTGTGGCTAGTTTTGACTTTGTGATTTTTTTGTCTACTGACCAATTTAACATGTAGAGAGGGGAAGGCCACTTTTGTGGGTTTTTCTTGTTGTATGTTTGCCTGTGTTTGTCTGTGGACAGAGTTTGTCCACATGAGAGAATTGCAGCTGTGCAAGACAGTCACTAAACTTTAAGCTGTGCAGCTGAGATCAATATAAAATCAGGATTTGAAGAGGGTTGTGGTCCAGCAATTCGATGGCATCCCACTGGAAGATGATAACATGATTACTCTGTCATGAAATTACAGCATAACCACACCACTGCTTTCTATATCTGCTCAAATCTGACCAGAGAGCCACAAACCTATTAGACAGAAGAAAGAAATCCTTAAAAGTCTGCTTCATCATTCAATTTGCCCTCTGTCTTTCTACCTGTCCATTACTGAACTCCACCTGAGGTGGACCACAGCGAGTGAAGAGTTAAAATAAGCACTTAAAACAAAAAGCAGCTTTTTGTTCCCACAGGGCAAATAAAAGCACTGAGTGTGAAATCCCAGGAAAAGCTTTTGAATGGCAGGGGGCTTTGTATGAGTACAAATTGATAGTAAATGCGTTTAAAATAGCCCGTTATCCTTACTTTCCTTTACCTTTATAGGTGTGCATGCGTAAAACACGGAAACACGGTTTAAACACAGTGGGGGACAGCAGTTTACAATTAATTTCAGGACCTTTCGGAGAACATCAATTACTACAGCGCAATTAAGTGGCAATGAGTATAATTGTCTTTAATCATACGTCCATTTAACCTGACACAGGAGATTCAAAAGAACTTTGGAAAGACCAAATCGCATCATCTACTGCGTATCATTGACCCATCGACCTTAAGGGAGAGAAAGAGACAGAGACGGTAAGCCTACCGGATGACTCTCAGCAGCATCTCAGCTGATGCAGGTTGCACTTCTTTGCTGTAAAGAGTATTTTCCGTGAGCGCCTGTCAGCGTGCTGCAGTGCGACTGTCCTGTCACGGGAAAAGCGGCTCTGGATGCTCTGCGCAGGTAAACGGTGGCTGGGACCGGCACACTCAGAGGCTCGGGGAGAAAAGAGGGAGTTGGGAGAAAGTGACGCCAGATATGAAACCCTGAACTGCCCACTTTTTCACCCAACAATCGGGATGGAGATGGCGCATGCCTGTCAAGGGGGATTGGGAGGGATGACAAGTAAAGAACCGATGTTATAGGCTATGAAGTGAAGCCTGCAGAGAGGAGATGACCTGCATGTTTTTACTGCAGGGAAGCGGAGAACTCACTGAGCGTCACTTGGATGAACCAGGGTGAGGGGAGAGCAGTCAGCGCAGCGGTCCGGAGTGAGCTGCTGAAGCTGCTGCAGGTATTGATATTGCAGCACAGTCACATATCCCGGAGAACGATAAGGGACAATTTAAAGTACCGCCTCCTTCGTTATCTGTCACACCCCGCGGTATATTTTTAAATCATCATGAATAGCTTTGCATTCTGGCGCAGAGAGAGGTCTGGAAAATCCTGCACAAGAGCATTGCCCTGTCATTTACAATCGGAATCTGCAGAGCATGCTTGATTTGAATGGAACAAGCTGAATGCAGTATGCAACCCAGAAGCTTTTGCTATGACTGAAGGGTCACAACAAGATCACTTTTACCACTTTAAAGTATGTTATTTACAGTTCAAACTTTTATTTGAAATTGATGCATAAATAAATTCATAAAACAAAAAGATCTGGCTTTTACTCAAGGCCAAATGTGGCCATGTTTGGCTGACTAGCCTCAGACTAGCCTTCCCTATAAAGAACAGATTTCAGGTGTCCTGTGCCATAAATGAATCATAAGTAGCCCACATAGGCCCAAATATGCAGCACTTCTATGAAATGTGATTACTCCTCATTGAGGTTCTGGCAAAAATGAGCAACAATAAAACTTTTCTTCAATGAACAAATTAAAGGCAGGTTGAAAAGTCCACAGTTACAGTCTTATTCATGATGTTGTGTATCATGATACAAGTGCAAAATGATGGCTGAAGAATGAAAGACTAGAGAGAGAGACAATTTTAGCTCCTCTTGTTTTCAAATTCACATAAAAGGTAATTTTATGTTAAAGGCCTCACAGTACTGTATCATCTCAACACAGCACTCCACTCTCACAATGCTGTCTTACGTGTGGTTCCTAGAATATTTAAAAAATTAAATGGGAGGCAGAGCCATCAGCTTTCAGGTCCTTCTTCTGTAAAACCACGAGGAGGACCATATAGGGCTGCAGGTGACCATGAACAATATCTTAGTAACAAGTCTAAGCTGCTGAGGGTTTCCATTATCCACTATTTCTTCTTCATTCATCTCATTTCACTCACTATGTGTTTATACATCACTCTACATTTAATTAGGAGTTATTAGTGTGTGTTTTGTCTCTATCCCCTCACCCTTAGCATGAAGCAACAGATGGCTGCACTTCCTTCAGCCTGGTTCTGCAGGAGGTTTCAGCTAATATTGTGCTTTAATGTTGTATATTTAAAAACTGTTTTTCTATTCTTCATTTCGCACAAACCAGCAGAAACACTATAGACCGAACGTCACTGAGAACCACACAATCAGGCTTTGGTCCTGCCATTTGTGGGGTGTGTGCTGGCTCATCTCAGTCAGTAAAATGTGACAAAGTGGAAAAGTTAAAGCTTGATGCACTCAATGTGTATTTTCAGCAACGTTCTACAACATCTGTTAATGAAATACGCAACAGACACACACATGAAAGGAGCAACGATTAGAGCGTACTTGTGCACTCTGCAGCGGGAGTGAATGATGCTTTGTAGTGGTCATACTGTGACTCGGCAGCAGCGGTCGATGCTGCACACCTGAGGAATCTCACACTCAGATAACAGCGGGACTGTCTGGGAAGGAAATGTCAAAGCCCGGAGAACAGACAGCGGTCACACTTACACCTATGAGTGTCTGTCATTGAGCTCTTTGGCACTTAAGGTTCTGAAATCCATCCTACATACAGCAAACCTGCGGCTGAGCTGAGGCAGTGAGACTCACTCTGAGTCAAGGCAAATGTGACACAATCATGAAATGAAGATGCAGGCAGGGCGTGGGCAAAGAATGTTATATTTCACTAGGTTTTCGACAGCCATTACTTGTAACAAAGTTTTAAGTATGCAGTTCATTGATGAATACTCAAAACAAGGACTTACCAATAGCTGAAGAAAACAAAATCAATTTAAAAATTGTTTTAGAAATATATTCATGAAGTTATTTAGATTTAACATGGAGTGGATCCTCAATTGATCGGGTTGCTGTTTCTAATCAGAGCTTTAATGTGTTTTCAGTCCTGAAGATTTGAAGCTGTTGCAGACTTGCTGCTGTGCTTTGAATCATTATCTTGTTACATGACCCAGTTTCGGTCAAGTGTTAGCTGTCGGACAGGTGGCCTCACATTTGGCTATAAAATACTTTGGTATACAGAGGAATTCATGGCCAGCTGAATGACTGCAAGATGCCCAGGTCCTGCAAAACAAGCCCAAATCATTATGCCTCCACCACCGTGCTTGGAATTTGGTTTAAGGGTTTGTGGTGATATTCTGTTTGGTTTTAACCAAATGCGGTGCTGTGAATGCCCAAACATCTCCACTTCAATATCACCTGTCCAAAGGATATTGTTCCAGAAGTCTTGCGGTTTGTTCAGATGGAACTTTGCAAACCTAAACTATGCTTGGAAGAGGCTTCAGTCTTTTTATAATTGTGCTGTCATTAACTTTAAAATTTAACATGCTAACCTAGGCCTGTAGACTCCTAGATGTAGATCTTGGGGTTTCTCTGAGCATTGCATGGTAAATGCATTTGATTAGCAGTATCTGTCTGCTGCTAACCTTACTAATTCCCATGTAAGCAGTAAGGGTGCACTTTAGTCCTAAAACTTTCTTCACATGACCTCATGTCCTGAAACCATGACTAAGGAATAACCACAATTTCTTCCACATCAGATTTCTTTTGTCTGAGACAGCCCAAAATAGCACAGTTTCTAGACAGCATTAGAACATTTAAATGACACATTTAAAGGTTATTATTCTTTTTTGTGTGTGTGTTTGTGTCCATATATATGTTTCCTACATCAGTTTTTAGATTTTACACACAAAACAAATGACTACTTTACAAAATGTACATTCTCATACAAGTGAAACCTACTCATATATATAAGTAAAATTTGCCACACTTGAACAAGCAAAATGATTTCAATTCTTCTCTACCTATAATAATATCAATAATAACAATAAACACTGAAAACTGGCAGGAGTTAGCATTGTTATTGGATACTTTTACTTAGCAACAGGATGAAATTACTTCTTCCACCACTGATGCCAGAGCCTCGTCAGATGGTTAATAATGTAATGTTAGTAACAGAGTGAGCTTCAGTCTACACCACTCCCACTTAGACGACACTGAATTCAGACAAGGAGTTAAAGAGGTAAAAAATGATTTCTTTAGGCTCTCATATACTAAAAAAATCTTCTTGCAACACGAATTTGGAGGGGGATGTTTACTTTAGATTACCTTTAAACATTTTAACTGGCATCTCTGCATAGATGAAATACGTTTAACTGCAGGAACATTTCCTAGAACATGTTGAATGTGCTGAGATGCTGTTTTGCTATCTAAATAAAACATATGCAGCTGCTTTTTCTGTGAACTAAAGGTCGGCATTTAAATGACCCAGCTAACATGAACATAACATCTTAAAAGCAAAGCATGGATGAGAAAATTAAAGCCCAAGACGAGAAGGAAGAGCTGTGTTTTGCCGACTTTTTCATCTCTTAATTGTGACATATTGAGTTCATGCACAAAAATCCACTGGGAGCCAGCTAAATTAGACCAAACATAGTTAAACATGCATGTGTGCCATGCCTCAGACCTGCATACAAGCTAACGTTAACATTTTCCAGCAGCCTTCAAACAACCAGCCTGTAATTAGACACTATCATTACATTGTAGCTGAGCTTAGATCATCAACTGAGTCAAGAGCAGCACTCAAATTTAGTTTTAAAGTGTCTTCAGATGTTTGAGCTGTTACAAATCTTTCTGGGAAACAAATTTTTAACCAGCTTGTGCCCGATTGCTACAGCGTCTATAAGCTTAAGACACATTTTGGACACTTTTAATGTAATCTGACCTGTTAGACTGCCAAACAGTAACACCTCTGATGGTGAACGTGACTCTTTCATATACAGCCTGCACCACCAGGTGGGATTAATTAGTTTAAGTTGCTCAGCAGCAAGGGTGACTCAGCTAAAACACAGAGCCCACCATGCAGTTTATTTAAAGTAGTTTTAACTCTGCTTGAGTCATGTCAGTGGTTTCATTTAACTGGGTTGCCAGCATAGCTGTCAATTTACCACAAATTATAAGATGGACAAAAAAAACCCTCCCCTGCAGAAGTTAAGATTCCCATAAAAATGTGCTTTTGTGAGTGTAAATGGAAAATGTTCAGACAAATGGAGCAGCATAAAGGTTCTACTTCACCTTGCTGCAGTTGCAGAGCAAAGTCCGTACAACACTCATGAAATGACAGGAAAGACGACGAGCCTTTGAATCATTTTTCCTCCCATAAAGAAAAAAACCTCAAAACCCAGTTTCCACTGACTGGCTGCTTTTATTCCCTCTTGGATGCAGAGCGGCAGAGGCAAACCGGTTCAGGAGGGACGAGTCTGGGAAAACTGCTGCACTCATCCCGCAAACTGGCCAAACCATCAACTTGCCATGCTTTCTGCATGATGTTGACTGCACTGACCAAAAATTAGGGTATGGAGAGCCACTGTGAAATTTTGATGCAATTATATTATCTGTGACACATCGTTTTTTTTGTTTCAATGCCTGGCAGTGACGCTAGTTGCTTCGCCAGCTGGAGATCTGGAAGCAAGTCGAGTTGGTCTTTTAGTAAATCAATATGTGTGGTTAACCAGTGAGGAAAAAGAGACTGCGTTTGCTTCATAAGCTGCCAAACTTATATATCAGTGATAAAACTAGAGCTGATTTTATTCATAAGGATAATTCTGGATATTTATAGCAATGCTAAGATATTTTTTACTGAAGTAACTGTTTTTGTTTGGGCTGACTGCTCTTTTAATGGGGCCTATTATACTATTATCATATATTCCAGCTCCATGTTTTTCCTCTTGGACTCTTGGAGAGCACCATTGCATGATTCACAGCTCAAAATAATCTTGGTGCAACACTTCAGTTCATGTAGTGTCTGAAACAAGCCGACACTTGTTGAGTTCAAATAATTAAACGTATATAACGCCAATTCACAACAACAGTTGCCTCAAAGCACTTTAAGCTATAAGGTAAATTCCCAAGAATATTAGAATGAAACCCCAACAATGAAACGCAC